CTGCCCTGTGGGTACAAGGGGTGCGAGGGCAGCCCGGAACCTGGCCGTCTTGCCTGCGAGAGGGAAACCGGTAAAAGACACAGGAAACTCCCCAGCCGCTCGTCCCGGACTCTTCTCAACCCCCTCCAGCGCCCCAGCCTGCCCCGCACGGGCCTGGCATGTTTCTTCGAGGCAGGCAGCATCTTCCTGTGGTAGGAGGCGGCGGTGGCGGCTGGGGCACGCTCCTCGCCCGTATGGCCGCCTGGGGACGCAGGTTGCTGGAGCATCAGGCACGAGTGGCTAGGAAGCGTGTTTGGCACCGCTTAGCCCCAGCAGCCAGGCGGGGTATCAAACTGAAAGGAGAATATGTTCCTTCAGGGCTAGCAACATAAGCTACCAGTCCTGGCAAAGCGGAGTTCAGGTCTCACCCCTCTGTAATAAGTTTCCACACAGTTCCCTACCCTTTTTCACTGTTTCTGTGAATCCCAACCTGAAAGACAACAAGACAAATGACCGACAATGACTGCCTCAACGCCACTTTGTAAACTGTGTTAAAGAAGCATAGGTAAAATGATCACAGGCCCAGAACTCAGTAGTCAGTCCCCCCCAGCCTTTAGGCCATGTTTTGGTTAGCTTCCTCTTGACCCCAGTGCTTCTAACGGTGCCACGCAATTTACAATAAAAACCCAGGACTGTCCGATAGGAATCCATAGTGCCAAAAGCACATCTTCACCTGTTGCAGCCCTACCAAGTTTTTTGCAACAGAAAAATTGGACTACAGAAAAGTAGTTGAACAAGAATGGAAAATGCCAACTCTTAGTCTTCACTCAAAAGGGCATCTTGAATCTGTTGAGGGGCACGCTATCTCTAAAGAGATAGAGGACCACTGGTCTAACCATTTTAAAGCATAGTTTTACTTCAGAGCCAGGGACAGAAATCACTGGAGTAGTGAGAAGCCTTATTTGACAGATGAAAGATATGGAGCAAGTGGAATAACCCGTGGATCATAAATATAGAGCAAGAAAGGACTTCAGGAGATGTATTCCAACTCCCTGCTCAAGGCTAGATCATCCCCATTCAAACTATCTTGTCTAACTTGGTCTAGCCTGCTCTTACAGAACTTTGAAGGATGGAGATCTTACAACCTCACCAGGTACTCCATTAACCACCCACATGTTAGAATGGTCTTCCCAATATTAAACTGAAGTTTTCAGTGTTGCAGTTTAAAACTATTGCTTCCTGTCCACAGCAGATTCAATATGCAAGTATAGGTCAAGTCTCTCTTCTGTAGCAGATGTAGTAAAGAACTACCAATTAGTCTGACAGCTCAAATGGTAAGAGTCTCAGCTAGGGATTTGAGAGTCAGAGGGTTAGAACCCTGATACTGATCTGTGGGGGAGATAAGATTGTAAATGATCACCTTGAAATAGATTTTTATAGTTACAGTGTAGTATACTTTCAGCTGAAGTATACATTTTGTTCACTTATGTTGTTTTGGTGGTGTTGCATTCCATATCCCCAATCCATGGGAAGTCTGCAACAAACTAGCTTGACTATTGCAAGCTGTTAAAACTCATGCATTTAATTTCAAAGCCACCAATTCAATCCTGTGCCTTGATCAAGACAGTATCCATCATATATGCCAGCGTCCTATTAGAATTTCTGAAAGTCAGGTAGTACTATTTATATTGACAGTACAGGTAAGAGGTAGCTTTGCTGCTATAACATAGGAGCAGGTAGGGGCTGTGCAGTTTCATTCCCCCCCTTTGATTCCTGCTCCACCCTAACTTTAAAAGGGGTAGGGGGGAAGGGGAGTGGAGTGACAGCATTTCTATTCAGGCAGTGCTGAGACCATCAATTACCTTCATAGCTCATTAGTCCCCATTCCTGCTAATGTCTTCTCCACTCCACAGGTGTGGACCTCCTCTCTCTCTCTCTCTTTAATGGGACATTAAGGCCATTTAAAAAAAAAAAAAAAAAAAAACAATCCTTT